AAAAAAAAAAAAGAGAGCATAAAAACAATATAAAATAAAGAATTAAGTAAGGAAAAAAATGAGACAAGAACACAGGAAGGAATGCACAGGCCTCACAAACCAGAGGAAATTCTCATGATTTGATACTGTTTAGTGTAAATTCATAGTCATCTCTCAGAAGACAATATCCCATCTATAAGTAATAGCAGTTTCACTCTCCAGCATACAATTCCTTTGGCTCCCCCACTGTTTAATAACTTCTCTAATCAATAGGTCACAGTAAAGTCAAATGCATTAGCACTAAATTTTTATTTTTTATTAAAAGGTATAACTAGAAGGAAGAGTAAAATTACTGACTTTAAGAAGGCTTTTGGATTACCTACAGATTTATCTATCTTCCTTTTTACTTTGGTCCTCTATCATCAGAGGTAATTTAAAAGTTTGTTGCATTTTCAAATCAAAACCTCAACGTGATGCCACCTTACTCCTGCAAGAATGACTGTAATAAAAAAATTAAACAACAGTATAGATGTTGGCGTGGATGTGGTAATCAGGCAATGCTTCTACACTGCCCGTGGGAATGTAAACTAGTACAGCTGCTATGGAAAACAGTGTGGAGATTCCTTGAAGAACTGAAAGTAGAACTACCATTTGATCCAGCAATCCCACTACTGGGTATCTACCCAGAGGAAAATAAGTAATTATTCGAAAAACATACTTGCCACATGCATGTTTATAGCAGCACAATTCACAACTGCAAAATCGTGGAACCGCCCCCACCCAAATGCCAATCAATCAATGAGTGGATAAAAAACTGTCGTGTGTGTGTGTGTGTGTGTGTGTGTGTGTGTGTGTGTGTGTGTGTTTATGACAGACTACTACTCAGCCACAAAAAGGAATGAATTAACTGCATTTGCAATGACCTCGATGAGACTGGAGACTATTATTCTAAGTGACGTAACTCACGAATGGAAAGCCAAATATTATATGTTCTCACTGATATGTGGGAGTTAAGCTATGAGGATGCAAAGGCATAAGAATGAACCATGGACTTTGGGGATTTGGGGGGAAAGAGAGTGGGGGGCAAGGGATAAGAGACAAATATGGTACAGTGTGTACTTCTCAGGTGATGGATGCACCAAAATCTCACAAATCACCACTAAAGAACTTACTCATGTAACCAAATACCACCTGTACCCCAACAGCTTATGGAAAAAAAAATAAATTTGTGGCATTTGGCCAGGTAGGGTGGCTCACGCTTGTAATCCTGGCACTTTGGGAGGCTAAAGAGGGCACATCACTTGAGTCAAGGAGCTTGAGACTAGCCTGTGCAACATGCTAAAACCCTGTCTCTACTAAAAATACGAAAATTAGCTGGGCATGGTGGCACATGCCTGTAATCCTGGCTACTCAGGTGGTCGAAGCAGGAGAATCACTTGAACCCTGGAGGTAGAGGTTGCAATGAGCTGAGATGGCACCACTGCACTCCAGCCTGGGGGACAGAGCGAGACTCTGTCTTAAACAAATAAGCAAACAAAAAAACAAAGTTTGTTACATTCAGAACAGGTACATCAAAACCTATTCTAGATAAAGGGGCAGAAACCATACAAAGAGTACAGAAGTGAACTTGGGAGGAAGAAAAAAGGGAAGCCTTCTGTGTGGCCTCTGCTTTTTGCGAACTGAAAAAGAAACTGCAATTGGATTAAATAGTTGTTTTCATTAAGACCTAATTTTGTAAATGTCCTGAAATGCCATGCGTCATTGATGCCAGAAAGCATTGTTTTTTACATCTTTATATTTTATCTATATATTTATATTTTATATCATTATATTTTATATCTTTATTATTTTACCTTTTTCCAGAGGGACCAGATGGCATGCTTAGTGTTTTCTGTAAACTGAATTTACCGGGAGGAACATTTTCAGCTGACTGGGATAAACTGATGCTTCGATTCCTGAAGAACTCAAATCCACCACTTGAACTGGGTTCCTAGGATTACACACAATATGTAGTAGTGTTAGAGAAAGATGCCAAGTGGGTGTATGGCCTAGAGAAGATGTATAACTTTTGCAACTAACCTGAGCTGTGGGTGTGGATGGAGGTGTCTCAGATTCTCCAGAGCCAATGGCTTTAAGAAATCGAATCATGTGTCGACAAAGGTCCCACTTGCCTTGTTCTAATGCTGTATTGAATAGAAGGGTGGCATGTTGCCTACTTACTGCAGGGACTTCCATATTCTACAAAAACAACCAGGACAGCATTCTTTTTATACTACACAATTTGGGAAGATATGAGCAATTCTTTATCTCCACAGTTTTCTAAACTCAAAGAATGTAGCCACACCACCATAAGGGTTAGTTTAATAGTAAGATTAAAAATTACTGTACAAGGAAAAGTGAGGCAAGTACTCTTCTGAGGTATGTAAACTATAATTTATTAAACTCCCACTGCATGCCAGATACCATACTATACTTTGATTCATTATTTCATTTATTTCTCCCAGTGACTCTGCAGATAGGCATATCATTTGTATTTTACAGGTGTGGAAACTGAGTTAAGTAAATTGTTGAAGATCAGCAGAAAAGGAAGAAAAAAAAAAGGGAGGTTTGCCCAACTCCAAAAAAAAGTCAGGTTTGTCTCCTGTTGCTGTTTTCTAAGGATGTGACTAAAATCATTGCTTTGGGCAACAGCAAGTAGTAAAGTTCTGCTGCACATCCAGAATCCTCGATTTTTCTTTCACAAATTTAACCTGCCTATCTTGGTCTTCATGGAAAGTTGCCTAATAGACAACTTTAATTGTAGTTATTATCTACCATTCCATAGCAACTTAGAAATTCTGCTGAGAAAAAAAAATTATATTGTTAGGGAGATCATTGAAGTTGCAGGGAATGACCCAGAACCAAAAAACTGCTGCATTTATTTTGATTCTATTTTAAAAATCCTATGTCTTTTTCTTTAGGGTTAGCCATGAAATCATACTTCAAGGCCCCCTGGTCTCTCTGCTTGAGTGTCTCCTCTGGTGTCAGTCCATTGCCATGAAGCAAAGAAGCTGACAGGAAATCTGCTTCAGGTGGATATTTAAACCAGGTTTATGGTTAGCTTCTTATATCAATGAAAACAACTTTGCAGTAACTGTAAGGAATCTTTAAGTGTAGCCTATCAACCGTCAAGCCCTTTTGTCAAATATCTAATGAAATAAATTTTCAGGAGTTGCAAAGAAGCCATTATTTTGAGAAAACTGTGTGCTATGAGGGTCTGTGCTGTGGCAGGCCTGAGCCTTCTTGGCTTGCTTTGGGGAGACTAGCTCAAGGTGGTCTGTTATGACCATGCTCTAATAAGTGTCCCTTCAGCAACCCATACTAAAAGGAAATAAATCTACTATTGTGGGGAGCTCAAACTCACTAATATCCCAAATAATACTTTCTTTGCTATATTTCTTATATAATATTTCAATAATCTTATGTAATATTTCTTACATGTTCCGATATGTATTCTAAAACATGTATTAAATTTCTCCAATATATTAAATTTTCAAAATACTGCTCTGAACTTATTAATCTGTTTTAGGCCTATTATGGACAAACAGGAAAAAATCTCTGCAATGTTACTTTATGACATTCAAAGAAATCTGTCTGAATTCAAATTAAAGATATAAAGAGAAAATTTGACTATGAATTCCATAAACACAATCATGGTGCCAAACCAGGACATTTCTATTTTTCTAAGTTTAAGCTCATTAATTCTTGCCCCTTTATAAGAAGAGAATTGTTACCTGTAAGATAATAAGGTAAGAGGCAGCTGTGTCCAAATCCTGAGCCATCAAACATTCCTCAAACAAGTCCTTAGGGTTTCCAACAGCTGCAAAAAGGTAATTCCACAGGGCATATTCAGTCTTCCTGGCACAATGGACAACTGTCTGCAGGAAGAGGGGGAACTCGGTGATAAATTTTGCCACAGTGGGAAGGAGAGGGTCGGGAATGGGCTCCCGTGAGGTAGCTTCTTCTTCCAGTACTTCATGGAGCATGAGCTCCAGCACATGAGGGAAGTAAGGTAATGCGGCACAGGACTGGGCCAAGAGCAAGGCTTGCTCCCCAAGGTTTCTGACCAGAAGTTGACGTAGAATGTGGTGGAGGTAGATCTGAGAGGTTCTCTCCACAACACAGAAAGGGAAGAGCACCTCCAGCTGTTCTCTAGCATTGTTCCGAGTATACAAAGAATCATAGAGCAAAGTGTCATTGACAGCACCAAGGACTAAAGCATCTTCAAACAGAACAGCTAGGGGGTAAATGTTGATGTGGAAAGGCAGCATGATCCGCTGGGACAAGAAAGAATGGGGCTTGCGATGATCCCTCGGGAATAGAGGGAGCCAAACTTTCATCCCTGCACCACCACAGCTCAGCCAGAGGGCCTCTAGAAGGTGACGTTTCTGTTTATTTGCTCGACACGTTGTCCAGACATTTTCAACAGACTGGGCTAGTACAACAGGAGGACAGAATGGCAGCTGGAGAAGGAAAGACAAGAATCAGGTTGTTTTCCTATTAAATTTGTAGGTTAAGTTCCTAGGTACTAGTTTACTAAGTCTTTCAAATGGTAGTATAGTATCTTTCTGGGAAAAGCAAGGGATCTGTTTAGAATTACAGTTAATAAAAGTATCTTGCCTTTTAAAGCATACACACTTAAATCTAAAAACAAAACAACCCATGAACTTCACCAGTCTATCCCTATTTTCCATTAGAATTTTCAGTGAATGATGGCTAAGCAGTAACATATGAAGTATGGAACATGTCATGATCATTTTGGGACCTTATCCTCCAGTCAGTCAGTCTTATACTCAGAGGCTTAACACTAATTTTATGGACCTAATTTCTCAGTTTCCAAATCATAAAATACTCTTCTCTTAAATTCTTTCGTTCCTTTATCCTCATCCCATACCTTCCTAATGTTTGAAGTGAAATGACTTGTACTTTACTCACAATTTTCCTTTGGTTAGGGCTACTGTCCTTCTCCCGGATCTGTGGGCCTGACCTGTCCCTCTGCATCATGATGAGCTGTCCTGCTAGGTTTAACATAATACTCTCTGCACCACGAGCCTGAAATTTAAGAAAAAGCAGCTAAATTCATACTTCTGTGTAGGTATGCTTTTGGCATTTTCCCCCAATCCATAAAGTTTATAAGTTAAACAATCTATTATACTTACTGAGGTTGTACTATGTATAGCTACGATGGTACAAAGCTTAACACATAATGCAATTAATGAACAACACCAATGACATAAGATTGAAGGCACAGTTGAATTATCCTGAAAAAACTAAGAGAACTTCAGAAGTTTATCAAAATGAGAGATCACTTCAGTGATCTAGCTGCCATAACTGCAGAAAGTTTAAAAGGATGCAGTGGAGCTTGACAGATGAGGAAGACTTTAAGAGTGGAAGAGTAAGGGTTGGTATTCTAGTGGAAGTATGCAATGAAAACGAAGACATGGAAGTACTGGGAAACTGAGAAGACGCTGGCTAGACTAGGGACACTATGAGAACAAAGCTGGATGGTAACAGACTTTCAAGGAGGATTTAAAAAGCCAGGTAAAAGAGAAGCAAGAAAGAAGCCACTACTTATGGTTCTTGAATAAGACAGTTATTTAAAAAATCAGACTTAATCAGGATACTCAGGAGAGGCAGATTTCATGGGTGTTGACTTCAGAAATGAAAAAACAGTATGACTTTTTAGTATGAAAAATTTCAATCAATCCTCAGAGAGCTCAGTATAATCATTTCCTATTGAGCCCTATTACCCAGCTTAAACAATTATGCACATTAAAGTATGAGCAGCCCTGTTTTCAAGGGAATCTCAGATATCAAGTCATTTCTACCTGTAAAGAGGAAGGAACATTTTGATTAAAAAAATAGAACTTACTGCTATCCGAGACATGAAAGGTAGAAAAAGAGATGAGCCAAAGACAATTTTCAGGTCAGCTGAGGTGCTAGAGAAGTTGAAGTTATCACTGATAGAAGGTAAGAAGAGAAATTAGGGAAGAGAAAATCAAAGAGTTTCCCGTTTTCTTAATTTTAATTAAAAAAAAAAATCTTAAAGACTTCCAAGTAAAAATGTGAGCAATGACTAAATCAGAGATGACTGTACCAGCATTATAAAACTCCTGAGACAGAAGTTTCTCAGGCACAGTAGCCAGGGGGAAAAGAGCAGAGGGCCATCACCTGAGCTTCTGAAGGCAAAAGAGAAATAGGGAAGCACAGTGTTATATAAACAGAAGGAAAGAGTTTCAGGAAGGAAAAAATGACTATTCAAAAGTTGTGGGATTGTGAGCCAGGCTTTGCTGCATGCTGGCTGCCTGAATTTAAGCTGCCAATATCACTTAGGGTTCATCAAGAAAACAGCAGCCACCCTATATATTCTAGTTACAAAATACTCAGCTATACAAACTGCTCTTGCTTACTGCTCTGGGGGATTGTGTATAAAGAAATGACTAAATAAAAAAATTGGGTATCTGTCCAGAAAATAATTTGGAGGCATGAGAAGCAAACATGGAATTTAAGTGTGTGGGAACTAGAAGAGTCAGACACCAAGGTAACAGTAAAATGTAGCTAGACGGCTGAGGAAAAAGAAAAAGACACAAACACCTGCAGCAAAACAGCATGACTGGGGACTGGCATACACTTCAAAAGACCTTAAAGGCATATACTATAATTTACTACAATATGACTAATGTTTATAATGACTACCTTAAGTTTTAAGATGGTAGATTTCACCACATTTCATACTGCTTCATTAAAAAAGCACGCTTCTCTTTTCTTCAGTGAATGGGTATTATGCTACCTGTATGCTCAAAACCCTCAATTTGACGGAACCCCAAACTCCATCTCTTACCCTAAAAAAATCCCTGGCAGATGATTCTCCATGAGAATTTCAGTAACAAGGAGCTCACTCTCTCATGGAGAGGCTATCATGCTGTTGAAGAGTTCTCACTGTTACTATTTTTTTTTTTTAATCTTTAGTATTAAATCAAGACTTACTTTGCTCTAGCTTTATCTTCTCTCTGTAGTAATCAGTCCATTTTAACTTCTTAATCTGCTCTAGCCAAGTTAAATATCTTCTTTGTGAAAGTCCCTCTCAAAACATGGTACAGAGTACTACTGATGCCACTTGGCTGCCTATTCTATCTAGGATATACAAGAGTACTTTTTTAAATATGAAAACTTTAAACATAATTAAAAGTATGGAGAACAGTATAATGAACTTTCACATTGCCATTATTCAGTGGCACAATTATCAAGATTTACCCTATTTACTCTATCCAACCGTTTTTTTTTTTTTTTTTTTTTTCAGTTTTTTCTGAGTATTTTCAAGTAAGATATGCTACCCATTTTACTTCTATATGTTTCATATGCATTCCTAAAACATCTGGACATTTGCTTACATAGCCACAATGCTAGTATCACATCCAATAAAATTTACAATTATTCTCTAGTTTCTCCCTCCATTAGTATTTAAATATCCCTAATTGTTTCAACAGTGTCTTTTTATAGCTGGGTTGAATGAAGATATAGATGAACTTACTGAGTTGGTTCTGTAGGGCAGTGATTATTACATTTGCCTCACAAATGAGTTTTACCCACTGCATTTGGTTGTTACGGCTTCAAAGTCCTAGTTAATCTAGAAGATTTGCTCCTTTTTCCTCCATGTTAGTAGCTTGTAGCTGTCCAACAGAATGTCTCGTATTCTGCTTCCTTGTGGTGTAAATTAGACTTGAATGGAAGATGACTCTCCGCTTGATTTGATTCGGGTTCAAGGCTTTTGGCAATCATTCTTGTGAACTTCATGTTGTATCATCTCAAGAAGCATACCACATCTGGTTTTCCCATTTTTAGTGATGCAAAGATTTATTAGCATCACTAAAATTGATTTTGCTGATTGATTTTGCATCACTCAGGACTGCAAAATGATTTTTAAATTGTCCCTTTTTTTCCACACCTTTTATCTAGACTTCTGCAAAACAGTACATTCCCTTATCAGTTAGGACTAACTGGTTACCATTAAATATGGTTTGCAGAGGAAATGGGAGCTGTATTTTTAAAAAGAAAACAAATTTTACCTATAGAAATGAGACCAAGGCCAGGTACAGTGGCTCACGCCTGTAATCCCAGCACTTTGAGAGGCTAAGGTGGGTGGACCACGAGGTCCAAGAGATTGAGACCATCTTGGCCAACATGATGAAACCCTGTCTCTACTAAAAATACAAAAATTAGCTGGGCATGGTGGTGTATGCCTGTAGTCCTAACTGCTTGGGAGGCTGAGGCAGGAGAATCACTTGAACCTGGGAGGCAGAGGTTACAGTGAGCTGAGATCGGGCCACTGCATTCCAGCCTGGCAATAGAGTGAGACTCCATTTCAAAAAACAGGGAAAAAAAACCCTCAAAAACCAAAAAGAGAGATCAAGATGGTTAAGGGGTCTAGAAGAAACATCACATGAAACAGCTGTAGATATGTCACACGAAATAGTTGGAGATATGGAAGTATTTAGCATGTAGATAAGAAGACAGAGAGGTTTGAGGAGAGAAGAAGCCAAGGAATGGTAACTGTCTGCAAATATTTTGGGGGTCATCATGTAGAAGAGGGAGTAGTTTTTATAACGTCTTGTTACAAAGAATAGAGAAGTGGGATAGATTGTAACAAATCAATTTTAGATTCATATAAATACTATTAAATTCCCCGTAACTGGTTAGTCTACTGTACTGTTTTCTAATTATTTTATGGAGGGTTGAGGTTTGATGGAAGTGCCTCGACAGGAAGTAAAAGACAGACTGGGCAGACAGGGATGACAAATCTAAACAGAATTTTCCTCTGACAACAGGTTCCCAGTTGACATCAAGTTTAGAAACCACTGAAATAGGAAGTTATACAATGTGGGTCTTGGTGGCCCTACTTCTTACCCTGTTAACTTTACACAGAAACTATGCTTTACTTTCTCTTTCCTCATAAGTAACTAATTATGAAGCCCTTGCTATTCTATACTCATTCTATTTCTTTCCATTTCCTTTTTCACTGGCCAAGTTTAGACTCCGAACACCGCTGACCCAGATCATTACAATGGCCTCCCAGTTGCTCTCCCTACAGTAGTTTTGTAAAGCAAACATTATAAACCTTAGATCTAATAACACCTAACTTAAGACACTTTAGGCTTGAAGTCAAAGTCTAAAATTATCAATATTATCTACAAAACTCATATCCTCTCTCACCTTTCATGTCCCAGTCACTCTAAAATTCTTCCAATTCCCTGAGTGTGTCATGTTCTCTCTTGTCCATGGGCCTCTGCACTACTGTTCCTTCCACCTGAAAATCCATCCCCTCTTAACTTAGATAATCTCTACTTATTCTCCAGGTTTTGATTTAAATGACACAGAAATCTCTGATTATTCAGACTATACTAGGTTTTGGAAATATGCTCTCACAGTAATGCATATTACTTTTTGGTACACATAACAGGAAGAATTCATTATGTATGTAATTATTTATTTAATGCCTAAGCAGAAACCATGTTTTTTTAATTTGCCACTGTAATCCAGCATTCTCATACAAGGTAAATTTTAGACACTTAGCATTTATTTGCTGAAACAGGTACTAATATAAACTTCGAATACTAAAAACTGAGATGTAAACTCCAAAGAGCTCTGATAATGGAATGGTACCTGCTGTGGCATTTTCAAGGTGATTCCATTTTCTGTACTCACTGATGTCAGAGTGACAGATACTACCAGGAAAGGGTGAGGAATGTAGCGTGACATGGAAACCTCCTGAAGAACTTGAATACCAGCAGTAGTATTTGGACTGTGAAAACAAAAGATATCCACATACCTCAACAATGCTAATAAGATTTTCTTTATTTTCCACTAGTAATAGTATTAGATTTCATGCTTATGGAAGACTCAGATGTCTTCCACCTATCATTTTCTCCCTACATATCCTTCGATCAAGTAGGCAAGGTTGAGGGGAGCCAGAGAACATACATGGGGATGAGAGAGAAAGAAAGGGAGTAAGAAATAGGAGGGAAGATGAAAACTAGGGAAGAAGCTATAAGAATACAAATATTTAAGTGGAAAAAACTAGTTGGTTGAGAAAGAATGAAGGTTCAATCACTGAGGCTAATGAGATGTCTTAATTTTTATCTTGCATTACTCCTCAATCACTCTGCTATTTAATACATATTTCAATCAACCTCTGAGAACAAAAATATAACTCAAGAGGTGTCATCTAAAAATGCTGCAAATAGACCAGATGCCAAGACAAATACAAGGCAACATGCTGCAGCAACAAGACTGCTGATTTTTACTGTCCCAGACTATAGCCATCTAGCTCAGTGAAAATATATGTCAGTTTGCTAAGGACATGCTTCCTACAGCCTTAAAGCTGCGGAACTTCTTCAAATTCCCACCAAGTATTAGGAACCCTAGGAGAGTCAGTAACCATTTATTTTCAAGGCTGTGAAAAAAATTTAGGTTTTTCTAAGGGTTTACCTCATCCCAAACTAGTTTTTCAAATGACCCCAGGAAGATAAGCTAAAGAAATTAGTGCAGAATATTTCTTTTTTCTTAGCTACTATATCAGTATTACTGATTTAAACTCCTTGCTTTTGTTTACTTCTAACAAAACGGAGATTAAATATAAAAGTGGAATAAGTGTTTTGAGAAGACAAAAACTACAAAAGAGAAACGTGATAAAGAGGAGAAAAAAGTAACTTCTTATGCCAGATACTTACCCATCAGATTTTCTTTCAATACTGTAAAGGCATATTGAACAGTCTGCTCTAAATACTATTACCATGTCCTGGAAGACACTAAGCAGTAATGTTTCTGCTTGTGCTTTGATGACATGAGCAAAGGCATTGTCCAGATTTGATGTTCGCAAGTATACTCTAAGCTAAAGAAAACAAAAATAAATAAAATTATAAAAACAAGATAACTACTAGGGATAACTAAATACTTTAGACATGCTGTTTTTTAACTTCTGCCCCCCCACCCCGTTTTTTTTTTTAAGTAACAAGAGTTAAAAAACCTAAGCTTTAAAAATAAACGGATTATGTTTATATATTTTTCCAGGCTAGGCTCATTCTACGAATAAGCAAAAAATGAAGTAATCAAAACTGAATGCAGTATTATAAAATATTCCTTTTAGACTGCTTGCTTATTTATTTATGAGACGGGCTCTCACTCTGTTGCCCAGGCTGTAGTGCAATGGTGTGATCTTGGCTCACTGCAGCCTCTGCCTCCTGCAGTTCTCCCACCTCAGCTGGGAAATCCCAAGTAGCTGCGATTGCAGGGGCATGCCACCATACCAGGCTAATTTTTGCTTTTTTAGTAGAGATGGGGTTTCACCATGTTGGCCAGGCTGGTCTCGAACTCCTGACCTCAGATGATCCACCCGCCTCAGCCTCCCAAACTGTTTGGATTACAGGCGTGAACCACCCACCACACCTGGCCTAGACCTGTGTATTTAGACCTAACATAGTGAAACCAGCAGTTTCTTAAAGCAAACAAAAAAACAGATACAGTAGTTTCCCTTATCCATGGCTTTGTTCTCCACAGTTTCAGTTATCTTCGGTCCACCATGGTCTGAAAATAGGTGAGTATGGTATACTAAGATATTCTTAGAGATCACATTCATATGACTTTTATTACAATACACTGTCATAACTGTTTTATTTTATGAATTATTAATATTTTACAAATTAAACTTTATCATAGGTATGTATGTATAGGAAAAATGATAGTGCTATATAGGGTTCACAGTACCATTAACAGTTTCAGGCATCCACTGCTGGTCTTTGAATGTATCCCCTATAGTTAGGGAGGCGTTACTGTAAATCAGTAACTAAATAAATCTATCTCTAAGGATAGCTGTTCTTGTATCATGAAATTTTTTGCTTTTAACTCTTTATTTTCAAATGCCATCGAGAATGTCTGACAGCTAAAATCCTTACAAGAGGTTATCTTAGAAGTCTCAATTGTCATTTAAAAAAATTTTAAAGTAATAACCTGAAAAGAAAATCCCACTAGCTAATTTGGAAGCTACATTCTTGATTAAAAAATGTTTTGTTCCGTTTTCAAGACTATTTTCTATATAAAATTAAAACATGCTTAATAGCTTTAAAATACAAAAATCTGTTATTTCTGAGAGAAAAAACTTACCTCTTCTTGATGGTCATTTATGTTATAACATGCAAGGACCATAAAATCATTCCACCAGGCTAAGCCACCTGTCACAATCATATTTTGCTCCTTAAAATAAAATTCAAAAAAAAGTCACCTTATGCTACCAGAAATTCTAACAAAGTAATAAATTTATAAAAATTCTTATCCAGACAGAGCTCAAATTACTATTATTTTTTGAGATAGTCTCACTGTGTTACCCATGCTGGAGTGCAGTGGTGCGATTGCAGCTACCTGTAACCTCCACCTCCTGGGTTTAAGCGATTCTCATGTCTCAGCTGCTTCCCAAGTCGCTGGGATTACAAGCATGCACCAACACACCTAGCTAATTTTTGTATATTTTGTAGCGACAGGGTTTCACCATGTTGACCAGGCTGGTCTTGGACTCCCAGCCTCAAGTGATCTGCCCACCTTGGCCTCCCAAAGGGTTGGGATTACAGGCGTGAGCCACCATACCCAGCCAAAGCTCAAATTATTTCTGCTCTATTCTCCCTCTCTCCCATGATTACTCTAGCGCCTTTACTAATAATGATCCATATACTATTTTCAAAAATAAGTATTTCTTTAAGGAGGCAAATATACCATTAAAAATAACTGGGTACTATATAGCATCATCATTCCCACATCCAATAGGGCTTGGTGTAAATACTGGCTTAATCATTTATAAGATGACTAACTAATCCTAGTTTGTGTGTGTGTGTGTGTGTGTGTGTGTGTGTGTGTTAACTGAAAGATGAGTAACAGTAATGCCTTCATTGGGTGCTATGCAGATGGGTGAGATAACATATATGAAAGTGCCATAAAATGCCTAATACACAATAGGTACCTAGTAAGTATTGATTTCCTCCTCTTCCAACTGCACGCATATATGTACACACACACACACACACACACACACATATCTCACACATAGAACAAGAAAGGAATGAGCTCAAATTCTGTGGAAATTTATTCTGATCACATTTGAAAAACTCAAGCCAGAATGTAAGAATAAATCCTCAGGCTAAAGAATTATAGTTACTGATCTTAACAAGAATTAAAAATAAACCAACGATTTTGACACAAGATCCTTTACCAAATGTCAAGTACTTTATCAGAATCAACTCTTGGACATTATTCAGTATCACTTTTTATTATTTGATTTTTCTTATTTTTTAATAAGTAATGAAACTTACTTAGCTATAAACTTGATAGTTATTTAATATTGTAGTAGTTCTCTTATACTTTGAGAAATAGCTTTTTAATCGTGAAAATACTAACCTGGGTAATGTTTCCAAAAAGTTTCCATTTTTTGGTGAGTAAAGAGTAATGTGCAAAACCAAACTTGCCAACCACAGCAATATTCTGTCCAAGCTTATCAATAGCTGAAAACTGTTTAAAAAAAAAAAAAAAAAGAAATTTTCCTTGCAAACCTATACACTTAATTAGGCATAAAGAGCTTAGTATTGTGTCAGGCAAATAGACTATTAATAAATGTTTGCTAATGAAATACTTTAATGTCCAAATATTCACAGTTACATCTGAAAAAATTACAGATGTTAATATACTAGCAGTGTACAATAGATCAAGTGTTTTATTCTTCTCAATACACCCACTGAAGGGCTCTTCCCAGAATGCCTCTTGCAGCAAATGCTAGCCAATAAAAGTTAACACCAACAAAATAACAACTCACCCGTATAGGCCAATTGCTCTCTAGATAGGTGCTGGAAATCTACAGAAAATAATACATCAGTTTGGTAAAACTTATGAAATGTATTTAAACTTAAAGCATTAAGTTATCACAATATAAGATTCATCTTACTTTAGTGAACAATGTTTAAGGTGCCTCCCCTAGTTAATATTAGAAGCAGAACACTTGGAATTTACCAATTGTATACGAATCAATGTTTCACATTTCATGTCTGTTATTTCATGTTTCTAGTTACCAGGCTTTCCTTTCCCCACCCCTCACCCCTTATGATGTTTCTGTTTGTTTTAAATATTGAACTCCATAAATACAGACTGATGAGATTTTCAGAGAAGGCACCCATGAGGGCAGCTATGAATTGCTTAGATCAACAGTTTGGGTTTCCGGATATGAACCATTCCAAAACAACCGATTACAGCCTCAAAAGAAGTTCCGATTTTTTAATGAAAATAATTTCATTACTTTTACACTTTTTGATTAAAAAAGCTATGCTTAGGCCAAGTCCAGTGGCTCATGTCTGTAATCCCAACACTTTGGGAGGCAGAGATGGGTGGATCACCTGAGGTCAGGAGTTTGAGACCAGCCTGACCAACATGGCGAAACCTCCTCTCTACTAAAAATACAAAATCAGCTGGACCTGATGGCGCATGCCTGTAATCCTAGCTACTTGGGAGGCTGAGACAGGGGAAACGCTTGAACCCAGGAGGCGGAGGTTGCAGTGAGTCAAGATCACACCACTACACTCCAGCCTGGGCAACAAGAGTGAAACTCCGTTTCCCCCCACCCCCCAAAAAACCAATGCTTATAAAATTATATAATATAAAAATGAACAAAATGAAATTCTCTATTGCTTAGGGACAACCACTTGTTACCTTTTATTCTATCTCTAAACAAACATGTATATACATGAAAGAGTGCATGTAACGTATTACTTTTCCACAGGGGTATTTTACTTACTCATCTACAAGAACTTTTAATATGTTACAAATATTAAATCTCTCTGCAAGAAAAGTAGTCAATATATTTTTCCACGTTGTCTGTCTTACATCTTTGAACATGAGGTCTTTGTATCACCCTAACAACACCTTTCAATTTAAATAATTGATATAGGATATCAATGTAGATTAAGTAAATTCTAGCTTTAATGAGACTGATCTCTATAGCTTACTGATTAATTTTCATGAGCACATGTTGGAGCGGGCTGAGAATTAACAGAACCAAACAAAAAAAGAGTCTTCTGTTCCTGGAATAAGAAAAGCTTTGATTTCTTCAAATTTTCTTTCATTCTACTCTAAGAAAAGTTGTCACATATTTAAAAATCAATGCCAAATTAAAAAGCCAAGTAAATTGCAATCAAACCCAGTAAGGTTGTTTGCATAATGTGAAGACAGAACAAAAATTAAGTAAAAGTAATAAGCTCTAAACATCTGTATTAACCCTGATAAAATTTATTGATAAAACTATTTGTTATACTTCACTTATTATCAAGTGCTTTACTTACTACTTATTATTTAAGTTGACTTGCTAAGTCAACTTAAAATTCAACTAAATCAACAGCTTAATAAATTAATAAAATTCACTATGGGCTGGGCGGGGTAGCTCACACCTGTAATCCCAGCATATTGGGAGACCTGAGGTCAGGAGTTCGAGACCAGCCTGCCAGCATGGTAAAACCCCGTCTCTACTAAAAATACAAAAATTAGCTGGGGGTGGTGACAGGTGCCTGTAATCCCAGTTACTCGGGAAGCTGAGACAGGAGAATCACTTGAACCCAGGAGACAGAGGTTGCTATGAGCTGAGATCACACCATTGAACTCCAGCCTCGGCAACAGAGAAAGACTGTGTCTCAAAAAAAAATACTAAAAAGTTACTATGATGAGTAAAATTAGTTCAGAATAATGGTAAACTTAAGGTATGATTGGGTGGTGAAATAAAAGTTGAAAGCAGTTTCAATTTTTTTTCAGCAGTCACTAACAGGAGGAGGATGTACCTGAGTGTAACTGTGCCAATCAACTATGGTACTAAAAGGAATCCTCACATCCCTCAAAACTTGGTGTTTCATGAGTACTCATGAAATGTGTGGGTGGGTAATGTGGGAGCTGGGATCTTACTGCAAAACTGGATTCTAACACAAAGAGTTTCTAATAATGGGAATCAAAGTTAAATCTTACCAAATGATCATATCTAAAGAAAACAATTTATTCCCTAAAAATCTATGAAGTGCCACAAATGATTTATTTTAAAAACTTAAGGTGTTAAGTTTAAAATGAAGTTTTTTTTTTCTTTTTCATGCAGTTTTGTGTCTACAGATAATAAGTATTTTCTCGAGTAGGTCAACTTTGTTGATCTATGTGTCATCTGAACTCTGAGCTCTACCTCTAATACTGAGAACAGGAAACGGCAGAAGTAAGGAGGAGGCAGTTAATTAATGAGAAAAAAAAAAGGGGGTCATGAGAGCACACTCAGGGCACTGAAGTCATGCCACATCATTGGAAAACTGAGTGCGAAGGTGCAGAAACTCTACCCTTATCTTAGAATGTTTCGGTTTCTCTTAAAGAAACTGAATCTGCCCGCCTTTATTATTATGATTTTTAAATTTTAAAGTAACTCTGCTAAAACTCTGTCTCCTGCCTAGACTAGTTTTATCTATAACTTTTGAGACTGTAGGAGGCATCCTACTAGCAAATTTGTTTGTACCAAATATCACACCCAATACACCTGATACATACTGACAGCAAATAAGTGATCAATGAAATATCCTTTTAAGTACTCTCTGCTGAAATCCCTAACATAGTGCCTCATACCTATAGGTGTCTATCTCCCACATTTTGTGGAGCTTATTCTTTCTAAGTAGCCGAAGCTTATTCTTTCTAAGTAGCCAAGTTAACTATCAAACCAATATCCCCAGAACACCGAAGATGTATGTACCTTTCAGAAGCAAATGTTTACATCACCCAAAATACTGAGCATTAAAATAAATGGCAGTCTTAGAAGGAACATGGCCTAAAACTACAAGGTGTGTGTTTTGTAAAGTTTCACAGTTTGTGTTCCATCTGTCAACAAACGGTTTTCAAAATTTTTTAAATTTATAGGTAAGAAATTTTTTTTTAAAAAAGCACTGCTTTTACTCAATCCTACTTCTGACAAGTATGTATTTGTTTTGTTTCACTTCAAGAAAAAACGTAAGTAACATAGAATCTTTCAGTCTGGAAGTTAAGAAGTATAAGGTAGCAGGTTTAAACAAACAACAAAAAACTAGTAATCTAGATGAGAAACAGAAAGAACAGCAGAATTAGTTGGAGCTCATCTAAGCTATACAAGAAGCATAAAAAGAATAAATCATGCAAACAAATCAATTTTGACAGAGGATGTGGTCACTTAGAAAAAAGGATAATACTGAGGGGTGAATTAAATCAGGCAACTATGTTTCTTCAGGGAGCCATCATAAATGGCTAAAAAGCCTAGAAGGTAACGCCTTAGCATTATATAGACACTGTACACTGCCCCACTGAAACTCCACCACCATAACCGCACTGAATTATGTAGCTGGAGTGCCAGGAAAATATAGGGCAACTCCAACTACAAACTACCAAACAGGCAAATTCTAAGTTTTAGCTCAAGATCAGTAGTGTATTATATGATTTAATACTCAGTACCTAGGTTTTAAAATACATTAGATTGTTACTTTAATGTAGAATCATAAAGATAAGTATGCCACTACTTTGCTGGGTGAACTGCACAAGTCACATAACTTCCTTGATCTTCAGTTTCCTCATGTCTCAAATCCAGTTGGACTTTATGATCTTCTAAGGTCCTTCCAGCTTGAAAAATTCTGAGTCCATTATAATTGTTTCAGAAGTACAAAACAATTAATGTGGCATTATTTATGTTATTTCTAAGGAAACTGATAAACTCAGTAAACCCTAGTTTTACAAGTTCATCTAATTATCTCTAGCTATCTAAAGAACAGAATGACAGAGGAATCTTGCTGGTACCCAAAGTCCTAAAATCAGTGTTAAAATGCTTCTCTTATATGGGATACTTCATAGATGCTGAAGAATCACAGAATCACTAAGGTTTTGAGCTGGAAGGAAATTCAATTTTTGTTATTGCCTGATCGATTTTTTAGTTCCAGACCTACCTTCTTTGATCCTCTGCTCTACTTGGCTCTCTGGTAACACAGACCTGGCTAGGCAGAACTGGCATTGATGCTAGGTCAGTGTAGAATGAATAGTTCAAAGTATGGGGAAATGAAAATAGCAGAGAAATGGCTATAGGAGAGAAGGGAGCAGTGGAAAATTTTAGTCAAGGAAGTAGCTAATGCAGTTTTATTTAAAAATTGTTACTAATTATAAAATGGTATGTACATTGTTTGATTCTATGAATTGATTAATGTAAGTTAAATACATTTTTAGTGTATACCACATGTCAATGTAGGAGATAATCTTTCAACCTTACACATGACCATTTTTTTGTCTCTCAGTATCTTCACTCAAAGTCAACTGAAAATAACATGGGAGCTGAAGTAGGCTAGTAGTAGGGTATACTATATAGAGACTCAAAGTAAGGCGAAGAATTATAGAAATAGAAACTGACTAAAAGAAATAAGACTGGGCTTATTTAAATATCTAAATATTTTAGACATTTAAGTATCTAAATAGATATTTAAGTATCTAACATATTTTTCTATCAAAAGGGGAAAGAAAATACTCAGAACATTGAAATTAAGTATGTAAGATTCTTTTAAGAAACTTCAACTTACTGGTTTCCCCAAATTAATTTTACTTGGTATCGAAATTCAGAATTAATTTCCATGTTTAACATTTAATGTCGGTTTATCAGAATTCCTGTAAGACACTGCTAATTTAAAAGTGATATCAGAATGAATAAATAATTTAGAGTAAGATCAGCTAATAAAATTATTAACAATAAAGCTCTCTACTGATCACAAGTCTGCAATTTGGGTCCAAAGTCACATGATTAACCTCAACGTGGCCCCATTAGGACTGTAAGGTCAGCTGTACAGAGTTCTAGTTGATGTTGTCACTTTCCATGAAATTATTACACTTTGTTTTGCCTGTGCAAATCCGTAGAGCTAGATTTATACAAAAAAGAAGCTGAAAGTAAAATAAGTAGTTCTCAATGAGAAGGTAAAACATAAACTTCTAGTTCTTGACATTATTAATGCACCTGAAGCAGGTGGGCGATACACTCTACACCAAGTGGAAAGAAAAGAAGGAGAAAACAAGAGGACAAGAACGCAGAAAAGCACAAGAAGGACATGACAAAATGGTTAAAAGGATTCTCAGTTGCCTGAAGTTAACAGATGAAACATTTAATAATCTGATCCAGGTGATATCCTATCAAAGAATAAGTCTCTAGTCATCACTAATTAAAGATATACCTGTACAACATGCCAATGCCGATGTCCAAGTAAAGTGCTTAATCCCTGAGACTCTAAACCTCCATTTGAAAATGGGCTCTTTTCTCGACTGGGCTTACGCTCAGAGTGTGTTGAAGAACTCCTGGGATTCTGGGTTTGTGAAGCCTCTCCACAGTTCAAGTACAAGCGATCCTCGCCCTGAAGCAATACCTGCTCTTGGTTACTCTAAATGAGTGAAAGAGGAACAAAATGGATAAAGAAGAAAAGCAAATAAAAACAACTCCACATATGTAGGAGAAAGTAAGTAACACATTGATTTAGCTTTATTATAGGAAATGTATATATATCTCAATGTTGATTTTCTTCACAGAGGACAAAGACTATACAATAATCTCATGCACTATTATAATTAGAAAGAATAGTGCTATTAGTGACCATGAGTTTTCAACTAGAAAGCCAGTGTTCTCAAAGGTAAGGAGACTTATTAACTATTCAAATCAGACAAAGCAGCATCCTACCCACCTCACCATTTTAGTCCAAATGCTGGCTTGACATAAAACTCAGGGTGCTTTTAAATTATTATTAGCGATGGGGAAGGGGAGGAGAAATACTTTCTTCTTTTCTGGGGATCCTTAATCTTCAAGTGGAATAACAGATTTGAGATTCAGGCTATTTTCACTTTCTTTCTTGATTTGTTGTTAATTTCAATTAGAAATTTGTTGTACCAAATTTCCATTAAAAAGCCATTGATAGTAGGTTATACATTTCTAACATGTTACATATACTATTACTGTATATTAGCAATATATAGTAATACTGGTATACCTTATTTCAGATAGAAATATAAGTTTATAATTTGGGGCAGTGTTTCTAAAAGCAAGTCCTCAGACACTTTTTCTTCAAGCTGTTTCTTAAAAATTCAGTTAAATAAGCATGGGGAACATTGTTTTTTATATGCTACCTCCTGGATTTTCACGATGCACATTAGCATATTTTAAGACTCTGAGCCCTAAAATAAAGAAATTTCTATAATTTTATTTTACCTTTATTTCACACTTAAATGGAAACAAAAATTTAAAAAATTTTAAAAATCCACAGAATATACATTCTTCTCAGCACCACATCACACCTACTCTAAAATTGACCACATAATTGGGAGTAAATCACTCCTCAGCAAATGCAAAAGAATGGAAATCGTAACAAATAG